CACTCCCGCTCCCTCTCTCTCTCGCTCTTGTCTCTGTCTTTCCCAGCGCTGCCCTCCGGCTCCTTCCGTTTATTTCTTATTCTCCATCAGCGCACCTTTCGACCCTCTTTAACTGGAATCAAGTTAAACACTTCTTAGTAGTCCGAAGTAGTGCATTTTTCTATCTTAATTGGAAATAGTTGTGAACCAATTGTTGTAATTTCTGAAGTTATTAATTTTTGACCTCGAAGACGAGTTGTGATTTCACAAAGAGTTCTGGCAACTTATTTCACAACGAACTCTTCGTAACGTTTTGAGTTCTTTTTAACAGTGAATAAAGAAATAGCCCAGAGTTGTTTCGTACTGTTAAGACATTACATCTACTGTTTACTGGCAGTGTCTATTTTTCTAAAACGTACAGCATGACTAAACTTTTTTTTCCCTTTTTCAGGAAATCGTCCAGCTCTCAAAATACTTCTTTCAACGATGGCATTGGAACGCTATCAGCTCTGCGACAGGGCGGTCACTTATACAGAATAAAAAGAATTACACTAATGCTTTGCAACTATGATGTTTTGCGTTCCCCAGGCTACAGGGCTCGATAATTTTATGACGAACTGATTTGCGGTAAAATGTAGAGATAGAAAGTCATAGCAAAAAGAATTTGATAACTTTTATTTCAAAACTTTGTACTGCTTCATCTCGACGGCCCCGTCCTAGAGACTGCGTTATGTACAGTTCTTCTGTAAAATATGCGTTTTGTTGAATACGTTTCTAAACGATACCATCTGTTTTGAGCTTATCTGGAGACAGTTTTCAGCAGGCGATCCACAGCTGCTAGAAGATTCAAACAATTGTTTCACTGGCAGAAACAAAATTAAAAAAAAATCAGAAGGGGGTAGAACTGCCATCTGAAACCGTTGGTACACAGTATTTGAAACCCGTTTTGTTCCTGCACGGCCAGCCGAAATGTGCTGCGAGGAAGCTCAAAATCAAATAGTACTTTTAGAAGCGTACTCTACACAACGCATGTCTCAGGGACGTTTCGTTTTGCAAACCAAACAGTGTATTTAGTACACGCAAGAAAGAGTGTACGTGTGCCCAGGAAAGTGTGTACTATGCAATCACACACTTCTCTGCGCATGCCCACGTGCGCCCTCTTGTACTAAGTACACTGTTTTGGTTTGCAATAAGCACAACGTATTGTCACAATTTTTCTGATTAGAAGTTATTGTATCTTTCAGCAATGATTCTCTTCTCGGTCTTTTTTTTTTTTCAATTCAGTCGGCACTGTAAAGTTATTACGCCCTTTAGCATGGGATTCACTAAAAGACATCTGTCACAAGCATTTAGTACAAAAGTCTCGCTAGCTGCATATCAAGGACATCACTGAAAACTCTTCAATTTGCATCTATACTTGAAGGTTATGCTGTGAAAAATAATGTCGTTAATTAACAACAGATTTGGTTTTAAGTGCTTCATTAAGCATTATTGTTGAACAACAACACTGCTATGTAACTAGAATGTTTGTTCGGGAAAACACAAGTCATTTATTTATAAAAGTAAACATTGTAAACGTCTATTTCGTTTGAAGAAAAAATGGCTCCCGAACAAAAATTGTTGTGACATAAAAACCGTGCTTGCCGTACAACCACAAAAGCTATTGAAACACTTAACAACCAAATTTACAATTAATTAGCAACATTAAATTTCACAGTGCTGGTTTGGTGTCGGTGCAAACTTCTGCAGTCAGATTTACGAACTCGTCATGTAAGTGAGGTTGGTTCTGAGCTATTCAAATAAAAATAGCGATGAATATATTTAGCAATTCCCTCTCATGCTAAAGGGCAAGACATTTTTAT